GGTCCCATTTATTATTGTTGATCTTAGTGTCTGTACAACTGGAGTTATGTTCAGGAAGCAGTCTCCTGTACCAATTCATTCAAGGGTACCACCCACTTTCTCTTCTAACAGGCACAGTATGGCTAGATTTTTGCTGATGTCTTTGATCCATTTGGATTTAAGTCTGTGCATGGTGACTACCATGGATCTATCTGCAGTCTTCTGCATGTCAGCCTCCAGTTATGCCAGCACCATTTATTGAAGATGCTTTCTGTATTCCATTGTGTAATTTTAGCTTCTTTGTCAAAGATCAGGTGTTCATATGTGTATGGGTTAATGTAGGGGTGTTCAATTGGTGTACTTTGGTCTACCTATCTATTTTTGTGCCAATACCAAGCTGTTTTGAGGACTATAGCTCTGTAATACAGCTTGAAGCCAGGGGTGGTGATGCTTCTAGATGTTACCTTGTTGAACAGGGTTGTTTTGCTAATCCTGGGTCTTTTGTTTTTCCATATAAAGTTGATTATTATTCTTTCAAGGTCTGTGAAGAATTGTGCTGGGATTTTAATGGGGATTGTGTTAAATCTGTATATTGTTTTTGGTAAGATTGTCATTTTTACTATGTTGATCCTACCTATTCAAAACATGGGAGATATTTCCCTTTTCTGGTGTCTGCTTTAAATTCTTTCTTTAAAGACTCAAAGTTCTTGTGATACAGGTCTTTTACTTGTTGTTTAGCATTACTCTCAAGGTATTTTATGTTGTTTGTGGCTAGTGTAAATGGTGATGTTTCTCTGATTTCTTTCTCAGCCCTTTTATCATCTGTATAAACTAGGGCTACTGAATTTTTTGAGTTGATCTTGTATCCTGCCACTTTGCTGAAGGTATTTATCAGCTGTATGAGTTCCCTGGTAGAGTTTTTTGGGTCACTTATGTAAAGTATCATATCATCTGCAAATAGTGAAAGTTTGACCTTTTTCTTTGCAATTTGTATCCCCTTGATCATCATTTGTTATCATATTTCTCTAGATAGAACTACAAGGACAATATTAAAAATGTATATAGAGGACAGCCTTGTCTTGTTATTTATTTTAGAGGAATTGCATTGAATTTTTTCCATTTAGTTTGATATTGGCTATTGGTTTGCTGTATATTGCTTTTATTATGTTAAGGTAATTCCTGTAATCCGGGATCTCTACAAGACATTTATCATGAAGGGATGTTGGATTTTGTCAAAGACTTTATCAGCATCTAGTCAGATTATCATGTGATTTTTGTTTCTCAGCATGTTTATATGGTGGATTGCATTGATGGATTTTCATATGTTGAACCATCCTTGCATTCCCAGAATGAAGCCTCCTAGATCGTGATGAATGATTGTTCTGATGTGTTCTTGGATCTGATTTGCCAGTATTTTATTGAGTATATTTGCATCAATGCTCATGTGGGAAATTGGTCTGAAGTTATCTTTCTTAGGTGTGTCTTCGTGTGGCTCAGGTACCAATGTTATTGAAACCTCGTAAAAAGATTTTGGCAAAGACCCTTCTACTTCTATTGTATGGAATACTGTGAGGAGAACTGATATAATCTGTTCTTTGAATTTCTGGTAGAATTCTGCACTGAGGCCATCTAGACCTGTTTTTTTTTTTTTTTTTGGTTGGGGGACATTTGATGACTGCTTCTATTTCCATAGGGGTTATAGGTCTATTTAAATTGCTTATCTGTTCTTGATCTAATTTTGTTAAGTGATATCTATCCAGAAAATTTTCCATTTCCTTTAAATTTTCAAAGTGTGACCTGAAGATTTTCTGGATTTCCTTAGTGTCCATTGTTATGCACCCATTTTCATTTCTGATTTTGTTAATTTGCATGTTCACACTCTGCTGTTTCATGAGTTTGAATAAAGTTTTTTTCTATCTTGTTCATTTTCCCAAACAACCAACTCTTTGTTACATTGATTCTTTGTATTGTTTTCCTAGTTTTTACTTTATTGATTTCAGCTCTCAATTTGATTATTTCCTGTCATCTGCTCCTCCTGGGTAAGTTTGCTTCTTTTTGTTCTAGAGCTTTCAGTTGTGCTGTTAATTCTCTTGTGTAACTATTCTCCAGTTTCTTCATGTGGGCACTTAGTGCTATAAACTTCCCTCTTAGCACGGCTTTCAAAGTGTCTGATTAGTTTTGGTATGTTTTTGTGTCTTCATTCTCATTGAAGTCTAGGAAGTCTTTAATTGCTTTTCAGTTTTTCTTTGACTCATGAATGGTGCAATAGTGCAGTATTCAATTTCCATGTGCTTGTAGGTTTTCTGCAATTTGTGTTGTTGTTGAATTCTAATTTTAACACATGTTAGTCTTATAAGATCCATGGTATTATTCCAATATTTTTGTTCCTGTTGAGGTTTGATATGTTGCCAAGTATGTGGTCGATTTTTGAGAAGGTTACATGTTTTTAATTTGAGAAATTTTTAATTTCTAACACTTCTATTAGATTAATTTGTTTAAAAATCCTTGGATTCTTTTTACATTATTATTAGTGTTTTAACAATGACAGGGGCTCCATATTCATATGCCTGGAACCTGAATATCTCTGTATAACTCTCACATAGTGAATACTTTAATACAGAAGTTTTATTTTGTTATATGAAACCTATGGCTGAAGGGGCTTACAGTCCTTCTATATCAATGCTTGTTTTCTTACTTTACTTTTCTGTGCTATTATATGAACTTCTTTAGTATTCTCCTTTATTGTATCATTGATAACTGGATAAGGCACATGGTGTTTTAGCAATCTTACATTTGAATTTAACTTCCATAGAAGGAATTATTACAGGTGGCAAAAAGCAGAAGAAAAGAAAAAAGAAAAAAGATTAAAAAAAAAAAGAAAGAATTTGGATTGCCAGGACTTTGATCTAAGAACAAAATTTTTACATGTGTATGTTCAGGCATTCTTCTTAGTAATGTGGCAGTAAGAATGTTTTACTTGAGACCACAGATATAGTGATGTAGTTTTGGAAGGACTATGACACTACATTCATTCTAGGTTCCTATCCTCCTCACTGAACTAATCAATAACCAGACACAAAAGACCAATAAGCTAAAGTTTTAATTGAAAGGGAAATATTTGAAATCTGAATGCCACACAGAAGAGAGGCTGAGTTTGTGAAAACCATGCTAGATAATGAAAAAATATTTGTTTGGGGTTAAAAATATAAAAGGCTATCTCTAGTGAGATGTGGTTTATTTGTCTCCTATTTTATTTTAAACTAGGTCTTGAGATATCATTGAGATGCAATCAAGCAAAAATCATATACAGCTAGTAGTCTGAGTTGAGGCAAGCATATCAGGGGTCATTTACTTATAAGCACAGAGGATTTAAGGGACGGCACATAATTCCTGGGTTTTATTATTGACAGAAGTTTTGAAAATGCCAGGTTATACCCCAGTATAGAGAGTCCCTTTGGGTTTTCCTTGGATAATAGAGATAAATAATTTGTCTCAGTATATGTGAGGCTAAAATGAAATAAAGTCAGGAAGGTTGACATTGTTTCAATTCGTGACTTGGAGTCTAGTAACCCTTTGTCAGTGTGACTATAAAAAAATGTGAATGTAGTTGAGAGAGTCAATAAATTCAAAATAGTGTACTTTTTGAAAAAAGAAAACTCAATTAAATATAAAGGACATATTGATATTTTGATAAAGTATAGACTTTCCAAAGGGATTTCATACATCACAAAGAAAATATTTTGTATTTTAAGACATTGGAAAACTTACCAAGGGAAATCATTTATGGAAAAGTGATTTCTTCTACAGTTTTTTCACAAATTATTTCTACATAGTGATGAAAAATTCAACTGCACATAGTTAGATGTAAGACTTTTCTGGACTCCAGGCAGGCTAATATACACTTATGGAAAATGTTTGAAGTAGTTGTTCCTGGGGAGAAACAAAACCTCCTCACACCAGATACAGAAACAAAGAAATATAAAACTAATTCTACTAAAATGCAGCATGTTAAACCAATGAGTTTCTTGGGATTACTTACAGTAGCATGGAAGAGACAAGCCCACCTATATCACAAAAAGCTTCTGTTCATGAATGTGGTGGAAACTCACCAATGCTTCAGTCCTGCAGCTGTATGCACTGATGTTCATGTCATTTCAAAAATCATAGAGCATCAGCCAGGCACAAGCATCAGTACAGTCAAAGAGTCCCCTCACCATAGCAACGGTTTAACATTTCTATCATTTTCAGAGAGAGTCTTTTCTGTATTTTTAAGTATCTAGAACTTATTTAAGTTATTTAATTTCTTGGACAAATGAACTTGCAATCTCTCACCAGTAAGTAAAGTTTTTAATGAGGAAAATTTGCAGAAAAAGAGTCAGACAAATTTCCACCACTCCACTATCTTTTTGATAATAAACTCAACCTAAGTGGCCACTACTGATATTACGGAACTTGGCTCATATACTCTATTACAAGATTTGTCTCTACTGTATGAAACTGGTACTGCTTGAAAGATTGGGTCAAGTCTCTAGAATGCTCTAGTTCTACTGAATTGTCTTCCCTGCTGTTTTTCTCACTACTAGACAGACTAGCATAGGAAGTACATGTGGATTTACCTTTATTGCTCACATGCTTTACCCATATAAACTGGTTATTTACTATTTATTTCCATTGCAAATCAACTCAATAGGAAGTTATAAAATGATCTAACATTGAATCTTAACATAAAAATTGATCAATAGTTTTACAAAGTTATAGAAGCTTTATCATACTGGAAAAGAGACTGGTACTATGAAATCTAATTGTCTTACTTTATATAGCATCAGCCCTAATTTTATCATTTATTTACTCAAAATATGAATACCTATAATTACTTTTCTAAAGTCAAAGATGGCAAATCTCGCTTGTAACTTGTGGGGAACTAAATCACTGACAGATGCTTTGATGTGTTTAATGATGTGAACCCCTTTGGCAGAAATTTTGCTGCAACCTCCTCAGAGCACACTTGACATCATTGTTCCTCAGGCTATAGATAACAGGATTAAGTGCTGGGGTAACACCGTGTAGAGCAGAGAGAAAAGCCTGTCTGATGTTGATGGTATATATGAGGGTGGCTTCAGATAGACAAAGCAAGCAGTAACAATGAAAACAGTGAAAACAGTGAGGTGAGGGATACATGTAGCAAATGCTTTGGACTGACCTTTAGTAGTAGGAATCTTAAGTACAGTAGAGAATATGTAAAAGTAAGAGATCACCACACATACAAAACAAGATGTGGCTAGACACACACCAATTCCAAGACTTGTATAAATGAACAAAAGCATTTGGGAGCATGAAATCCTTAGCAATGAGGAAACTGCACAGAAAAACTGTGGGATCACATTGGAGCCATAGAAATGCATGGAAAATGTGCCAGCTGTATATATGGCTCCAAAGAGTACTCCAGTGGTCCAGGAAATACCCACCATCAGCAAACAGGTACTATTATTCATGATGGCATCATAGTGCAGGGGACTGCAAATGGCAACATAGCAGTCATAGGACATAGCAGTAAGGACAAATAGTTCCCCTCCTGAAAAAAAAGTCATTAAAAATACCTGAAATGCACAACCAAGAATGGAAATAGAACTGTTGTGACTTAGGCTACTGACAAAGAAATTTGGGATAGGAACTGATAGAAATAAGATATCCAGCAAGGACAAATTCTTCAGGAAGAAGTACATGGGTGTTTGAAGTTGCAGGTCAAGGGTGATGAGAGTAATGATGATGACATTACTTATTAGGACTGCCATGTACATCACTAGGAAGAACACTCCACAAAAAGTCTGTAGCTCCTTGATGTCAGAGAACCCCATTAGAGTGAATCCACTTATTGCAGTGACATTGGACATACTAGAATCTTATCAGACTCTATAATCATAAAAGGAAAAAATAAGAAATATTGGTACTGCCATAAGCAATGAAACTTATGTACAGAAATAATCAGTGGAAAACAATTCAAGAAAGTATACATAAAATGCATATGCATTTCTACAAATATATTCTCATTTCTTTCTCCCTTTCTCTGAGACCATTGTCTTCTCTTTCTCTCCCTATGATGCTTGTGTGTGTGTGTGTCTATCACTCTCCATCTTTCTCCCGTTCCTCAGTGTCTTCTTTCTGACTTTCCTCCTACTCATCTTCCTTTTTCCTCTCTCTCTCTCTCTCTCTCTCTCTCTCTCATCTATCTATCTATCTATCTATCTATCTATCTTTCCCTATCTTTGGATTATCCTTAAGTCTCTATATATGAAAACTAGGTTTTCTATGATTTAGCTATGGAACCTTAACTGAATAGCATAAAATGTGATATAAATTAGTCTTATAATTTTAAATGTACAGTCATACTTAGTTTATGAAGAAATTTTCATAGTTTTAAGAAGGTCCTGCTTTCATTAAATATTAGTAACTTATTCTTTTATGAATATTATATCCATGCCAGCAGGTGGAAAAATGATTTTGAATATTTGAACAACAGTGTCATGATAGTCATAAATATATATATCTAAAAATTATCTCAATATGATAATTACACATATATCAGAGAAATCATATTATCTCATATAATATACAATTACTATGCATCAATGTGTATAAGCAAAAGAAAAATGCAGAAAAATAAAATAAATAAAAGACAAATCTAAAATGTAATTGTTTCTTTTACATTTTATGGACAGACACTTGCATTTGTATGAGACTTCAATTGAGTTAGGACAACAAAAATTTGACTATGTACTAAATATTTGTGTAACCTATTTCTCAACAGTTTTCATCAAGTGATCTTAAAAAATAACACATATTTAGATAAGTCTTTACTTAAACCACTGCAAATGTCGCACTGTAATCTAAGGGCAAGATAAAAGATTGACATCCCTCCTATAACTTAATTTGCATTTGATTGTATTGAACTTTGAGAGAAGTTGATACTCAACTCTGAGGACAAGCATTGTGTCACTTCTAAACAGTAATGCTGACCCTTAAAAGTTAAAGAAACAATAGATTAACCTAGATGTTTCCAGTTTATTATCATCTGTCTTTTACATAATCTACAAAAGACCACCATGAAGTCTTTATTCATTTCCCTAAACCTATTTTGAACAGTGGAGGAATATAACTGATGAGCCTGACCCTATAAGAAGGAGTAATAATCAAACTTGGAAGAAATATCAAATCTTTCAAATAAAACATTTGGCATATAAACAGCCTGCACAACAGATGCATGTTGTTCAACCTGACATTTCCCTTTAGATTAAACAGGAATTGCTTCTCTAAGCAGAGTCAACTGTAATTATCTGGAGAGTATGGAGACACTGTGTGATCAGATTGAGATAAGAATCAACCAGAACATAGCTTGACCTAGTAGTCATTATGTACTTTCCCTGTTTAATCTTGAAGTTTTGTCAATACTTTGGAAGACAAGGCTATTCAATGCAGTTTTATTCCTTTCCTAACTCTCCCTATTATGTTAAAATGCTTGATATATATTTATATAAGATGTCCCTAATGTGCTGCAATATTCAAAAGTCAGGATCTCTGTGGTATAGGATTTGTCTAATGAAACTCCAACCCAATATCCCCTCATTTTCTTATTAATTATAATGTTATACTGTTTGAAATTCACATTTCAATATCATGTTATGTCTTGATACAAGTCAATTGCTGTATGTTCAAACTATATTATTTGGTTTCTAGGTCAAAATTATTTAGATAAGACTATTCTATATTGAAGTAGAAAGTAGGAAAATCTCTCATTCTCTCTCACTCTCTGTCTCACTGTGTTTGTGTGTATGTGTGTGTGTTACATGACTAAATGATTGAGAGTAATATAAAGTTTATGAGGGCTTCTTATTCTTCACTGAATAAGGCACAGCTAAACATGTACGAGCATGTTCATATATTTTAGTAAACGACAAAAACTCTTCAAATGGTAAGAATTAGGTCGATAAAAGATCATAATTTACTGATTAGCCAGTTATCTGCTTAAGCTCAAGGAATTTCCACCAAACTACACTGAACAAGTATACAGGACAAAGTTTCCTAGAAATGGCATCTAGGAAAGTACTTATCTAATGCAACATAAGATGACACATTGGAATATTTAAACAAAATCTGACTACACAGGCAAAATTTGTGGTAGAGGGATAAGATTCTGGCCACTTGCTAGGCTATGATAATTCTCAGGCTAGTGAAATACAGGAAGAAGGCAAATATGAGATATAAAGGAGAATAAAACACTACTAAATGACATTGTTTTTTATAAATTTCTTATACCTCATTATCTATAATATTTTTAAATGTTTTAAAAAGCATATTGTGACATTTTAGCAATAGAAATAAGAAATTTATACCTTAAAAATTCAGATTCTTCATATTCCTAATATAGTTACTCTTTAGATTTTCCATTAGTTTGATTTTTAAGGGGAATATTTTTAAATCTGTAATATCTCAGTTTAGTATTGGGTCACCTAAATGTAAATCATATATTAATATTATATTTAGGTTGTCATTGAGGAAAACTCCATTAATCTCTTATCCCAAGAAAGCAAATGTAAGCAACAAGGAAAATATTTTACCTTTTTATAAACGTTGATGTGAACTCCCTTGAATTTGTATATAATGAACATATTCCTAACAGACCTTTTAAAGGCACTCGACTACTCCCTAGGAGTCCCAAAGGCAAATATTTCTGGACAGACTAACTAAGAACCCATGGAAAGACAATTAGTGTAGCAATAATTGCTGTTTTCTTTTTTTTTTTTTCAGTTTAAATTTAGATAAGAAACAAGGTTGCTTCACAAATCAGTTCCAGGTCCCTCTCCCTTTCCCTCCCCTCCTCCCATGACCTCCCCCAAACCCCCCCCATTATCCCCTCATTTCCCCAGGGAGGGTGAGGCCCTCCATGGGGGTGTCCATAGTCTGTCATTTCATATAGGGCAGGGCCTAGAACCTTCCCCAAGAGTTCAGGGTGAGAGTGCACCTCACATTGTTGAATGGGAGTCCAAAGTCCGTGTGTATACTCAGGATGGGTACTGATCTGCTGCCCAAGGCTCAATAGATTACCTAGGCCTCCTCACTGACACCCACATTCAGAGGTCTTGATCAGTCACATGCTGGATTCCCAGGCTGATGCCTGGGATTCAAGAGTTAACCTTTGTCTGGTCAGCTGTTTCTGGGGGTTAAACCAGCCCAGTCTTAATCCCTTTGGTCATCAGTCCTCCCTCTGTTACTGGCTTTCTTGAGTTCAGCTCAGTACTTAACCAAGGGAGTCTGCCTCTTCTTCGATCAGCCACTAAATGAAGTTTCTGGTTCCCAGACTCTCTGGCCATGGGATTGTAGGCTGGCACTCCCCAGATCTATGTCTAAAATCCATATATGAGAGAGCACATGCCATGTTTCTCTTTTTGTGACTGAGGTACCTCGCTCAGGATGGTTTCTTCTAGTGTCAGCCATTTGCCTGTGAATCTCAAGATTCCATTGTTTTTTTCTGCTGAAAAGTACTCCATTGTGTAAATGTACCACATTATTCACTCTTCGGTTGAGGGACATCTAGGTTGCTTCCAAGTACTGGCTATTACAAATAATGCTGCTATGAACATAGTGGAACAGACATCTTTGTTGTATGAATGGGCATCTTTTGGATATATGCCTAAGAGTGGAGTTGCTGTGTCTTGTGGTAGGTTTATTCCCATTTTTCTGAGGAATCTCCATACTGATTTCCAAAGTGGCTGAACCAGTTGGCACTCCCACCAGCAATGGAGGAGTGTCCCCCCTTTCACCACATCCTCTCCAGCATAAATTGTCATTGGTGTTTTTTTTTTTTTGACTTTCGCACAACTTTTTTTTAATCATTTTTTATTTTAATTTTAAATAGCTTGTTTTACATGTCAATCCCAGTTCCCTCTCCCTCCCCTCCTCCCGCACTCCCCTTCCCCCCCCTCCCTCCCACCCTATTGCCAAATCCTTCCACATAGGGGATATCTAGAGTCTGTCATTTTACTCTGGGTAGGGTCCAGGCACTCCCCTAAGAGTCCAGGCTGAGAGAGCATCCCTCTTTGTGCTATAGGCACATGAAGACAGTTTGTATACCAGGGATAGACACTGATCCACAGCTCAGGGCCCCATAGGTTGCCCAGGCCTTCTCACTGACACTCACATTTGGGGGTCCAGATCAGTCCCATGCTGGCCTCCCCACTGTCGGTCTGGGGTCCAAGAGCACTCCCCTGTTCAGATCAGCTGTCTCTGCTGGTTTTGCCAGCCCATTCTTTGCCAATTTGCTCATCACTCCTCTCGCTCTGTCACTGGGTTCCTTGGGTTCAGTTCAGTGCTTAGTTGTCATTGGTGTTTTTGATTTTAGCCATTCTGACAGGAGTGAGATGGTATCTCAGAGTTGTTTTGATTTGCATTTCCCGGTTGGCTAAGGACATTGAGCACTTTCTCAAGTGCCTCTCAGCTATTTTAGACTCCTCTATTGAAAACTCTCTATTTAGTTCTGCAGCCCACTTTTTAATTGGGCCCTTTGATGTTTTGGAGACTTGCTTCTTGAGTTCTTTGTAAATTTTGGAAATCAACCCTCTGTCAGATGTGGGATTAGTGAATATTTTTACCATTCTGTGGGCTGCCTTTTTGTCTTGCTGACTGTGTCCTTTGCCTTACAGAAGCTTCTCAGTTTCAGGAGGTCGCATTTATTAATTGTTGATCTCACTGTCTGTGCTAGTGGTGTTATGTTCAGGAAGCTGTCTCCTGTACCAATTCGTTCAAGGGTACCACCCACTTTCTCTTCTAAGAGGTTCAGTGTGGCTGGATTTATGTTGAGGTCTTTGATCCATTTGGACTTAAGTTTTGTGCATGGCGA